TCAGAGTTCAAGTAGTTGTGATCAGCTTCAATTTCATATTAGAAAATGAAAAGAGAAAAATTTCTGCTGGTGATAACTTTGTATTTCTAGTATACTTCATCTTTCTTTTTTTTCAGGCTGCTTTTAATTCTATCAGCTTTAAGCTTAATTCTGCTTTTGTGTTTCTTAACTATTGAGGATTATTCAGCCCTTTGAACTGATTTCTGACATGCTCTGTGTGAGGTACAGTGGTATCTGGAGAGATTGAGATGAAAGATCTCTTACAGTCTTTTTCTAGCGGGGCTGTAACACACAGAATTTCATGGATATTTGGGAAGTCAGTGATAAAGCTCAGAATTATTTCATGCCCTGATGTCCAAGCTGGAAATAAGAGAAGCCCCACTGTCATTCAGGTGCAGTAGATCTTAAAATGTTATTCTGAGCTCTGAATTCTCACACAACAAAACAACTGCTAGGCTTACGCAAATCCTGTTATTTTGGCACCTTTTATTTTTTTAGGATCCAGCTTGAGTTTTAAAGACAAAACTCAGCTTGGAAGAGGAAAGGAAATAGCCACTTCTCTAAACTTTCAGCTTCACCCTGCCCCACCACAACACAGCTCTCAGGAAATCACTGCATACTGATTTCTGTATTTAATGGTGGGAGCAGAAGCAGCACCAAAGTCATCAGCACACACAAAATGTTTGCTGGAAATATACATTCTCAAAGTGCAAGAATTCCAGACCAAGAAAGCTCCTGCCTCAGTCCTTTCAGATAAGCTTAATATTTCAATTGTTACAGTATTTATTTCAGGTGTTCATTATAGGGTTGGAACAGCAGTCCTTGGACAAATCACAACAATTTCTCACAAAACCTTAATGTTGGGATTTCAGATAGTTTTAAAGTTTTGACTTCCCTGAATATATGAACATCTGTGTATTGAGTTCAGTTTTCTGTCGCTCTCAGCAGGGTATATGCATGCACATATAGGAGAAATCTTATATGCATAACCTAGAGGAGATTCCTTTTTCTTTATCTTCCTGCCAGGCAGGAGCCTTCACTGACCCCGTTCTCTGCTGGATTTTCCCTGCTGACACACCAAGGCAAACAAAAAGGCTCTCTGGACCATCCAACATGAGGAGGTGGCAGATCTGCGGGGTGACCTCCGAAGCCCCGTTCCTGGGGAAGGATGCAGCAGAACAAAGTCACCCTTGTTGGCATTCAACATTTCAACCCCTGTGCAGAGCCTCTCCTTCCCCTGCAGCACATCCCCCTCACGGGCTCACAAAGGGCTGCATTCATCAGGGACCAGCAAATGGGTATAATCCTTTTGAAAGACAACAGGCCCTGCCAGCTCCTCCAGGCCTTGGTTTAAAATGTTCATCCTTTGGCTGGCTCTCGTGCACGTGGAGGGGTTTGAGGGTCTGAGGACCCTGTGGGGTGGGGAAAGGGCTCCCTGGGTCAGCAAGTCCTGTTGAAGTGGTTACATGTCGTGTGGGAGCTCGCTGACTTGTGTCTCAGGAGCTGTTTGGTTTCATGCCCACACTCCTCCCACGGACAAGCTGCTGCTCAACCTTGCTGCTCTGGATGGGGTGAACCTTCTTTGCTTTTCCAGCCTCAATTTATTCATGGTTGGTTTGCTCTCATTTGTCCCTGTGCCAGCACTGGCCATTAGCTTAAAAAGCTCTCCCCAGTGCTGGATTTGTCATCTGTGTGTGTGTAGGGAACGAGCAGCTCCTTGTGGCTTCCATTCACAGAGGATGAGACCGAAGCTGCTTTCGTTCTCCCATTGCACAGAGGAAATGCTCAGTCCTCCCCATTGCTCTGGTCTTCTCCTGGGCTAAATAAACTGAATTTGCCTGCTAAGTCATCCCAGGCCAGGCCAGGAGGCAGCCTGACAGAGCCTTGATGCCAGAGCTGTGGCTGCAGAAGCAAAGACTGAGATGGTCGTGGTGGTGCAGTCAAGAAGGGAGAGGAGAGATCCCAGTGGCCTTGAACTGGAGCAAGAATTGATTGTGGTGGTGATGTGAAAACACTGCAGCATAACAAAGTGAACACATGCCTAACCCTTGTCAGCAGACCTTAATATAAGAGAGCAGGGCTGCCCTGATGTTCCTTGTCTCCCTTCCACATCTCTGTGTGTTCTCCATTCTGTTCCATGTCCCACCTCTCCTGCTGCCAGTCTTCTTCTCTTTCTGAGTCTTTGACAGTCTTATTCTGCACTGTTCTGGGAGGGCGATCGGAACTTAGCAAGGTGATTGCTTTCCCAAAAGTCATCCCAGCAACCACCAAATGCTCTGAAGGCAGCCTAGAAAGAGCTTGAAACAAATTTAAGCTGCTAGCTGTGCTTACAGGCTGCAAGGTGTTTTATGTGGGCTCCTGTTTGCCAGTGAATTGCCTCCCACTCTTACCAAGATCCAAAAATCCCCAGGTTGTTCCCTGAAATTTTGGCTTAATCTAAAAGCATATCTGAAATTGTATGACACACAATGAAACACAGGCCATCAAATACAATTTGGAGCCCATCTCCTGAAATTCAGACCCCTGACACAATCCTGGCCCTCTCAGACTCAATGAGGTGAATCAGCTCCTCCCAGATTCCTCCTGTCTCCCCATCTTGCATTCCCTTTCACACCTTTCATGTAACCCAGCCCCCCCAGTGGAGGTGATTTCTGTGGCAGCTCTGGAAGTCACCCTCTGAGTGATCCTAGAGCTGTCCCTCTTCCCACTGGAAGGAGCAGGCCCTTTAAGGAAAGCCATAATGGGCAGCCAGAAATTGCCCTATGTTTTGGTAGCTCCTGTTGCTGCCTGGGAGATGCATTTGTCACCTAGCAACGACATAAGGTGATGAGGAAATAACAGCACGTTAATCTAATGGCCATGAGTTACCATCCATCAGGGAGCAGCCTCCCAAATCCACCAATCAGGGGAATAGGATTGAGGAGGAAAGAGATACCAAACTTGTCATCCATAAGTGGAGGAGGAGTGAGCACAGGTTATCTTCATGTGTGTGTACAAATGTATCTCCTCGTGGGGGGATGACAAAATCCCTGGAGAAATCCCTCAGACTGGAGCTAGCCCTCAGACACAGAGCTATCCAGAAGGTGGGTCTCAGTTTTGCAAAACCCAAAGGCAGCAGTGCCTCAGCAGGCAGGGAGCAGCAGGAGGGTGCCAGCCCATCAGAATTTTGGTGCCAAACCTCTCTGGGTTTTTGATGTCCAGTCCTGACTGTCTTAGAGCAAAAGCCGAGGCTCTTTATGGCATTCATGTATTCAAGCTGCTCAGCTGATCATGGACAGGGAGAGTTTTCCTGCTGAAGCAGTGATTCTTTTCAGAACTGGGCTATTCATGGACCCCCTTTAAGCGAACTCTGTCTCCTTTTGTCGTCATCACAGAGAGTGCAGGACAGGCTTCACAAATTGCTATCATCCCTTGGAATCCCTGTATGGGTCCAACCAGCAGAAAACATCAAAGTTTGCCTCAAGACCAGGAGCTGAGCAGTCATAGAATTCAATTATTTCCCTTTTCTTCTGGAAATAGATCCAGAACAGAGGCCCCATGTTATTTTTCAGTACCAGGAGCTCATTGAGGTACCTGCCCCCTGAAATACCAGGGCTGATCCATTTGGTGGCTCTAAATTGAAAGTACCCTGGATGCTGACATGAGGGAAGTAATTGTGAGAGGAAGAAAACTGAAATTAGTTCAATGATGGATGACCTCACTGAAGCCTGTAAGATTGTAAGAGTCACACAAGGAACAAGAGTTCCCAGCAAGGCTGTGCACATTTTTATACTGCAGGAGCTTTTACTTTAAGAAAACAGCTAAGAAATTGGTTTGGCAATTTACTGTTGAGCAGCACTGAAAAGGATTGGTCTGAAGCAGGACAGCATGTTCAGACCATTTATTTTGTGTAGCACATGCACTTAGCACCATGATGAGAGATGCTTTCTCAGCGAGCATCATTTCAGGGACTCGCCTTTCATTAGTGCTGAGCTGGAAGTAAACATGAGAGAACACCAGGGCTTGGGCTGGGTTTATGCAAAACTTGAACATTAAATAACAAACCCGTGTTGTGCATGTATATCACAGCTGGTCAGACTTCTTGACCTTTCAGCTGAAGCAAAGCCACAGAGGTACATCTCAAGAGCAGCTCGGCTTTGTCAATCATTACAGCAGTAATGGCATCCCAACATAATGCTTAACTCTGGAGTGACAGCTAAACATATTCATGGCAACACCCTTTGTGTTAAAATCTGGAAGAACCACAGTTAATGGTGCATTTCAGCCACGGGCTGTAAACTTCTGTGACAACCTATTACTGACTGCTGAACAAACTGGGATTGTCCCTTCCAAGGGGATCAGAGCTGTGGTGCAAACCATCTTCTACCCCTGTTTAACCACATCACCTGGATGGCTCTATAGGAATTGAATGTGCAGTGAAATTTTGTGTCCCTTGTAAGAAGCATTGGGGATGTATGGGGTTTTTTAAGCTGCATTTTCCTGGCAAACCCTGTCAGCTGCATAACAGCAATGCTGGTGCTGGTGGAGGGTGTCTTGGGATGGGAAGGGTTTCCTCCATCCTTGGTGCAGGTTTGAAGTGGTGGGCACAGTGCACAGGACATGGTTAGAGCTAACGCTGAAATGCCAATATTCCATCTGAAGGCAGCATGCCATGAAAGTGTGGCCCCACTGCACAGACACCAGTGACTCTGTTTGTAGCAGCTCCTGTTAAATGCAGCCGTGGGTTAATATGGAACTAAGCCTCAGCAGCAGGAATTTGTGAACAGCTCGGAAAATACCAAAACAACTGCAAGGTGCTGACCTTAAACCTGTGTTCCTTTAACTCCTGGTAGCTGTTTGTGTCCCTGCAAACCCAAATTCGCTCCCTGGCTAGTGGTAATTTCTGAGGGGCAGGAAGCCATTGGGTAACGTGTTCTCTGGCTGCAGGCACCATGTGCAGGGAAGTTTTAAAAGCACCAAATCACAGAGGGTAAAACACTGCTGCAAACAAAGCTCTTCCAATGTTTCTCACATTAATGATGCAGAGACCTGGAGCTTTGTGTTTAACTTCATGGATCACAGCAGGAACTGCAGTTCTGTGTTTAACCTTCTTCCAGGTAACCAAACCCTTCACTGGGACCAAGCTGATTTTAGGGATTTTGTGGGGGGGAAGGTTCCAACTTTTATAGAATTTAATAATCAGCTTTCTTTTTTTACTATTATTTTGTGAAAGATTTTTTTTGAGGACCTTTCAGGGAAGATTTAATGCTCGCAAAAATTCCAATTAATGCAGAAAAAACACTACTGCCTTTGTTCTTTATTCTGTCAGTGGCTATTGAGATGGAAGAGCTTGGGGCTTCAGCAGCACGGGTGGGTGTTTGGCTGCTGTGACAGATTCCTGCCTCAGAGCAGATGCACTTTGCTGCAGTTTAACCACGCTGAGGTGGCTCTGCTGAGTTGGTTTGAAGGATGATAAAAGAGAGGCCAGAGGTTGTCATTCAGCCATGAAGAATACTCAGGATACATGTAATCACAGCAATCAGCTATCTGCTTTTGACTTGTTATTTAATAATCAGTTGAAATGCAAAAAACCCCCAAAAGAATTAAAATATTCTGCACCAGGGTGCATGTGTGACATGGCAAATTAGCTCAGTTTTAAAAGGACACGTCTGGAAGAGTTGAAGCTTCTGTCTTTTTCTCTATTCCTCATTTGGATTTCAGCCACTTATGAAATTTCACAGATAATGCTTTATATGAAAGACTTACTATACCCAAAAACCTCTGGTGAAAGTAGGGACTGAAAGGCAGTGTGTGCACAGGATCAGACACATTATAGAGATCTAAGGGAGGATTTCTTACTGTTTACAGTGGCTTGAGCTTTGCAAAACAAAAAGAATGTGTTAATTAGAGATTTTAAAAGATATTTTTCAGTTATGCATATTTGATACAAATTTCTAGTTCAGAACAGAGCCTTTCAGTTTGACTCAAAGTCAAAAATCTCTAAGTCTTTTGGATATATGCAGAGGGAAATCCAAAGTAATTATTTACAAATTACATTCTAATAGGTTTTTTTTTTCCGAGAAACAAATCTTAATTCCTCTGTCTTGCTCATTCTGCTTTCCAGTGTTATCACAACTCTATACCCAATCTGAAATTTTTTGTAGCAACATTGGACAACTGTAATAACACACCTAACACCAGTCAGCCAAAAGAATCTATTGAACTGGATTCAGTTATACTGATGAACTGCTCTGGTTACTTTTTGCACAGATAATATGAAACTGAGGCTAAGATCAACAAGGCTTGCAAAAATAAACAGGCTTAAGCTGAGAATAGAAAATATACCTGAAAAACAAGTTTCAGGTTCACATATTTGCAATACCTGAAACCTGACTCTGGGAATGATGCACCACTACTATCTGAAAACAGGAAAATGCTGGGTAGAGCACACTTCTGGTCAAAACAGCTCCAAATTACTGCTGCATTCACAATTAGCTCCCAAAAAAAATGAGCCACAGAACAAGAATTTAGTCATGGGCATTTTCAGCAGATATTTCTGAATAGCAAAGCCTAGTGCAGCAAGCAGGTCTGAAGACTCCAGCTGGTGTTTCCCTGCTCTTGCCTTTCCCTCTTTCACATCAAAAGGAATGCTTTCTCCTTGGCCTAGCTTTCATCTGCAAGCTATTGAGTTTATTGAGCTCTTGGTGAGGTTCTCTGCTGGTTTCAATTTGGGCTGGCTCAAAGCAGAGCCCCACAGAGGCAGATCCCCAAGGAGAGGTCTGATTTCAACCCAGCAGGATCAGCACTCCTTTTGCTCTTCCTCTCCAATTTTCCACTCTAAGAACAGTAATTATACTGATAAATTGTAAAAAACAAAACATACCTGCCCTGATTTATATGTGTGTTTTCAGTCAGCAGACTCCGGGTCGGACTGTGAGCTTGGCGAGAGGTGAGTGTGGCTTCATTCTCTCACCCAGGCTCTTTCAGGGGTGCTGTGCTTCTGCTGGCACACCAGCACAGCTGAGGAATGAGGACTTCCAGCATAAGGACATTTAGGGTTGGTTGTTTTTTCCAAAAGAGGAAATAGAGGCTGGCAACCCTTTGGGTTTTCAGCAAAAATGCTGATGGTGGGCACCAGTGTTGAAAGGCAAACAAGTGGCATTCTGCTTCTTGCATCATCTGCATTGCTCCCACCTACAGAGAGAAATTTTTAATGGGCTCCCTTTATGGAAGAAAACTTCTCAATCTTCTACTTACTGATAGTGCTTCTCTTTGTGTTGGTAGATGTGCTGGGGTGGGTACAGCAGCCCCCTCATGCTGGACTGGGAGTCCTTTTTATTCTTCCCTTTTTAGGTGTGTTGGACAGAGCGATGAAAACTTTAGCAGCTGGTATGTGTGGTAAGTCTCAGATCTGCTTTAAGGGGAAAAACTGGCAAATAATATTCTTTGATGGATATATGGAGAGAAAGGCATTAAGAGAGACTGATAGCTAGAGAGCATTGCTCCTGGGCTGTCCCTGTGTTCTGTCTTTACAAACTAATGGAAATCATTTATCCATATCCTCCTCACTGTACGCTGACAACTGAGCTGGGAAAAAATGATGGATTGTGTCAGGGAGAAATGTTTGAATTTCCAGCCAGCACTGGCTGCTGAGGATTCAGGAGTGAGACATTAGTTTCTGGAGACTTTGATCATGTCCAGTGTGCTGGTGGGGAAACACAACATTTAAGGGCTATTTGCAAAAAGATGTTAATGAATATGTTAATTTGAAGACATGCAGCCATCTGTTGGTGCTGCCCACAGATGGTGACAGTGCTGTTCCTCCCCTGCTGCCTCTGCCTCAGGTTCCTGGTGTTGTTTTTCCTGGCCCTGCTCCTGTCCTGCGGGATCTGCTGCTGCCTGCAGTGCTGGCTGAGGCGCCGGAGCCGCCTGCCCCGACGCACCGTGGCTGTCTTTGCCCTCAGCAGCTCGGATGCCTTCTGTGGTTAGTCCTGTCCCTGCTGCAAGGTCCGGCTGGCCCTGGTGGCCTTCCTGTGGCCCATAAATAACCCAGTAAAAAGCAGTCAGGCTCGGGAGCTGGTATGCAGCCAGGGGCTCTATTGATGGTGAACAGTGCAGTGCCCAGCTCTGGCATCTTGGGGACATGTCCAGACCATGGACTAGGGGGCTGAAGCCACATCCACTTTTCACTGAGCCATACCTTGGTGCTGTTCCTGTGTGTCCAGGTGTCCCAAAGGTGCCTACCTGGGGCTTGGCCAGGCAAACACTGGAGGTATGTGGCACTTTCTCCTCAGTGCCAGGCCACTCAGTGGCCCATGACATTGGGGCAGCCACAGGCTCTGGGGTCAGGCAGCCCTTTCCAGTGTGTGTCCTTCATTTCTCATTCAGGTAAAACTGTACTGGTCTAACTCAAGCCACCCCAGCACAGCTGAACTGGCTAACACACCCTGATCTGTCAAAAGATTGTCCTGGTGGGTGCTGTTCATTATTGAGGCAGCCACCCTCAATATTCCCCCAGGAGCACCCAGATTTTGAGGACTGGGCTATAATGACTGTGTAGCAACCAGAACTGATAAGGAGTATGGCCAGCAGCATCAGCAGGCTGAGCCAGACAACATCCCTCCAAGAAAAATAAAGCTAATCCTGTCATTAGGCTAAGCCCTTCCCAGAGGACATATTACCTGCTTGCTGGGTGGTCACAGACAGTGTCTCCACAGGGAGGACCCGCCCAAACCCACCCAAATTCCTCTGTCCCAACTTCTTGTATCTGGAGTTTGTGGTGAAAGACTTTGTGATGCCATCCTTCAAAAATTACATCCGTGCCTTTCTTGTTTCCAAGTGGTTTGGCAGCTCCTCCTGGGCTCACCCCTCTCCCTCCCACACTTGCCCTTCACGCCTGTCTGCTGTACAGTGGTGACTTTGCTTTTTCCCCAGCTGCTGAAGCACCTCCGTGCCCATTCTCCGGATCCCTGAGCTCCTGCAGGACTGCAGAGATTTCCTCTTCTCCTGCCTCATGCTTCAGCCTTGGGGGAACTGAATTGCCTCCATCTTATGAGGATGTTATGAAGGAAAACAAGCTCTAGACACCACATGTTGGCTTTCAGGGATCCTGCTTGGTTCATCAGAGATCTTCCATCGTGCCAAAGGAGTGTGAGATCAAATCAGCCTTTTCCACAGGTCGGCTGAAATTCTGAAAAGCAGCACAATGAAAGACGAGACAAAATGCAACAGAATAAATGCCAAAAGTATGTATTGAATCTGTCACAGGAGTTCAGCTTGGCATTTTGATATCTCTGGATTTCAAGAAGCTTCCTCAAAGGCCTGAATGCATTTGGGGTTTCTGGCTCAGCCTCTAGATTTATCTCTCTAAGGCTGCTTGAGCTGGTGCAACCCCATGTATTTTAGGACCAAATGTTGATAAATGACTTGGTAGTTACTTCTCAAGCTTGGGCTGCCTCCTTCACTCGGCACCGTGCCAAGAAACACCCTCTGGCAAAGTCATGTTGTTCTAATACATTGCAATGCAATCATGCCACTCTGTGATGAAGGATCGTTTGCCACATTTAAAATATTTAGCACAGCATATCAGATTTTTCTAGTGCAAAAGGCAGCAAATTTATGGCCAGGGAAGAGAAAACAAGAGACAGGGATTATGTAGGAGTAGCAGTGGTAGGAGCTGGTTACAGAACCTTAAAAAAAATGAGTTTGCTCATTTGAGCTGTTCTTAATTTCATGATGAGTGTCCTCAGCTAGTCTTGCCCTAGCACTGCAGACCAGAAGGCTTTGACAGGCCCAGGACCCATATGGAAGTTCCCCACAGTCATGAATTAGGGGGTTAGGTACTTAGCACTTATATACAGAAATCTATTAGGATAAAGAATGCCATTTCCTTTGAGGTGATCGCTGCAGACAGGATGGAAAAATAAGAAGCCATCCACACTGCTTTGTGCTCACACAGGATCATCTCAACCAAAGCCATTCTTAGGAGGTATTAGCCTAACTAGTTCTCAAATTATTGAAGAAAGATGCTGAATTTTCCCCTTATCTGGATTCCAGATGAAAGCAAAGATTCCCCTTTGTTTGTCATGGACAGGTCACTGAAGGCTGAATTCAGCCTGCCTGGGCTCTCTGCCTCTGCTCTCTCCATGGCAAGGGATGGGGGGCCTGTCAGACCTCTCCTGCTGCAGAAGGGAATGTCAGCCCTGGTCCTGTGCTCCCATAGAGCCATGAGTCCAATTTGGGCACCTGGGTCCATCTGGGATTAGAATCTCAAAATATTAATGGGAGTCCACAGCCTGCCTCATGGAGCACCCACCTGTAGAGTGAGATTAGCACCAGTTCCTGTGCTCAGGAAGGAAACTGGGAAGATAAATGCACTAAAGGTTATCATATTCTCATAATGATTCTGTGTAAGTACATTTTTTAGATAAAGAATTGCAACTTATTTTGAGAAAAAATTATTTGCCAAAACCACTGCAAATTATCTCCCTAAAATCTTATTTTAGAAGCAGCTTTAATGTTTGACACTTGTGTGAAAGGAAATAAATGTCACTTGTAGCCAAATGAATGTTTGTGCCAGCAGGCTAAAATATTACTGGGTTTATTAATAACGAAAATTAGCAAGTACAGACTCAGCCAGGGGAGAAATCAAGCAACTTCTGAGTGTCCTTTTGCTGGCTGAACTTAGTAAGAATTGCAGGTAATCAGCACCTCTCAGGATCAGATCTTTCACGTACATAACTGCTTCCACCACTCAACCCCTTCAATTTATGCCCTGAAGCATGAGATTTGATTATGTTTGTCACTGCAGCTTGCATAGCCTGTTAGTGGGCATTAAATCAGCTGTCACTTGATTCCCACCTACACACTGTTAGCTTCAGTGACCCCTTCATGACAGAGAACTCCACAGGTTGTCTGCATTATGTGCTGCATAAAACATTACTGCCTCCTGCTTATTAATGGCTTGGCTCTAAATAAATTGCTGCCTTTGATTTCACGGAATGTCACCTTCTAATCAGATGGCTGGAGAGGCTAACAAGCGAGGACTGCTCAGGTTTCAGTGCCTCCAATCCCTCTGCATCCCTCTTTCTCCAGAACCAGTGATTCCTGAGGTGTAAATCCTTTCCCAGCCACCCAACAGAGGGCAAGCAAGACTTTCAGCACACAAAACACTCGAGGGAAGGGGTTTGTTCCCCTGCTGCTTGTGTGCATTCAAGTGTGTTCAGTTTCATGTTTGAGGTGCTTTAATTATGCACAAAATGAATAAATTTTTTCCATCAGAATTGCAACAAGTGACTCACAGTAAAGTAAGCCAGTGCCTGTCCTGAAGTCAGGCTCCATCTGGAGTCACCAGCGTGGGAGAACCTGTGTGCTGTGGTACCTGTGCAACACCATAGGAGCTTCCAAAAACAGCTGAAAGCCAGGAGGTGTCTGCAAAAAAGAGCTCATGTAGAGCTGCTGTGGGGAGGACATAAACTAATATGGCTGCTGGCTTGGGGTAAGGAAGGGAAGTACCCTGAGAAAGGGCTCAGAGCCCTGGTCCTTGGCTTCCTGATCAATGGAGTGGAGAAGAAGATGGGTTTCTTTCTTCTATAAAAGCATTTTGGGTGGCCCCACCAACCCCTTATTATCTATGGAAGCTGCCTGTCCCAGCTTGCCACCTTGCTCCTGTACTCTTCAGCAGAATAGACAAGGTTTCTCCAAACCTGTGTTCCCATTCTTACACAAGCAGAGATTTTGCTGGGTAATTGATATTTTTATAAGTACTCAGCTCTTAATGAGGGCAGTTAAAGCAGTTTGGCTGATGTTTCCAGAATTGCAAAGAGAGAAGAACCACTTCCTTATAATTCATCACCTTAGGAGTAGGGTTCACCTTGGAAAAGCACTTGTCCTGCTGTGACTCTCTGGCTGCCACTCATCCTCTGGTTTACACTTCCTGCTGACTTTGAGAAGAAATGGCAAACAGCTCAAGAAAAAAGCAGAAAACACTAGAAGGCAGATGTGTTTCTGGGGTAACTCGTCACCAGCAAGACATGTGGGGGGAAATGGGAGTGGTGCAGAGTTGCCAATTGCTTGGTGACCAAGCAAAGGACAAAGGGAATGTGGTGGGCACAGGGCTGGACTTTCACATCTGCAGATTAAGAGCTGAATAATAAACTCATAAAGTGGCTCTAAGGCAAAATAGAGCAAAACCAGAGGTAGCTGAGCCATAACAGGGCATCAGTTTGGAATGCCAGGAGGGTTGGACATGAAAGATGGGAAAATAATTTATATGCTCATTAATTTTTTTAATTGTCATCCACAATTCTGCATTATGGACTGTAGACTTCTGTGCAGGGAGGATGAGGACGGGGCTGGGGACAGATGCCCGCTCTCTTTGGGTCACTAGATGGCACAATTCTGGCTCTTTTCTTCCTTGCTCAAAGGCATTTTGCAGCAGGAACCCAGCAGCTACAGGAGAAAACCGTTCTCGCTGCCGTAGCGGCGGTTGGACAGAGCATTTCAGTCATTAATCACTTGCCCACAATATTTAACAGATGCAGAAGAACAAACTGCGGGAGTCCAGCCCCAGCTGAGAGAGAAAACCTTGCGTTCTTGGTGGAATTTTACTTTTCTCTCCTGGAAAGTTTGGGAAATGACTCTACGTAGATGTGTCTAAGCTGAGACAAAGTCTGCAGCTGCTGCAGATGCATTGCTGCAGGTGTGCACTGGGGCCTGAGCTTTGTGGCTACCAGCAAAGGTCCACGCAGCCTCCAAAATCAACCCCCATGCCCAAGAGCTGGTCCCATTTGTGCTGCTGCCTTTTGTGTGTCCTTGCAGGAGAGTAGTGATTCCCTCCACAGGAGTCAAAGCAGCTCCTGAGCAAAACCTGGCTGCGGGTTAGGGAGACACAACACTCAAAGGCAACTGTGTTTGTTGTATCCCACTGATGTTACTGCATGTAAGAAAAACACAGTTCTGCACTGCTGCTCCTGTCTCCTGGAAATAATTGTTCAGATCCACTGAATTCACACCGAAATCACGTGGCAATGTCTGTGAAAAGGCAGGAAATCTATATCCTGGGAAACACTGATGCAGCTGCAGTAGGAGATAGCCTAGTTCACAAGGTCACAGTAAGAGTGAGCACTAATTACAGCTGGAGATGTTAAAAGCCTCATGAGCAAGGCTGATCTGGGCAGGGAGAGGACGAGATGCTGCAGGCAGAAAAGGACAGCCATTGCAGGTTTCATTTTTTTATCTCTCTCACTTGCCTGTATGAAAATGGGAAATCAATAGTTATCTGTAAGGCATGGAATCACCTTAGCAAAGATCTTACCTAAACACTTTACTGCTTTCCATAACCTGTGCAGAGTGCACAGAGATGTCAGGGAGACGACAACGGGGAGCCCCAGTCCAAGGAAGCACCCTGGGGCAGCACACAGGCAGGAAAGGAGCTGCTCCCTGCTCTCAGCTAAATCCCTGACTCTCCCTGTGCCCTGGGAAATGGAAACAGAGGTGCCCAAACACAAAAAAAATGCCCCTTGTAAGCTAGTGAAAATATGGTGAAACCTAAAAATCTGTTGGAACTGATGGAATCAATGTTGGGCCTCAGCTCAGCTGGAAATTGCAATTGAGCAAAAAGCCTTGGTAAGCCATCAATGGCCATCAGGAGGGGAAAATCAGTCTATTGTCATTCCCAGTGAGCTGCTGCTGAATGGAATGCAGGTAGGTATTAAGGAAATACCTTAATAACTGAGCTCACCTGATACATCTTTAGCCTTAGGGACTGGTTGTGATTTTGGAAGAATAAATAAGTTGTATTTACTTTCTGGGAGGTTTCTTGCTAATAAATATATAATTAAACTAGAATAGATCTGCATTGTGACCTGATAATGAGCTAATGAGGAGTGAATCCTGCAGTCATGAAACCAGTGCTAGTATTAAATCAAACAGGGATTAACAATTAAATATTAACAGCTGATCAAAACATCAGCTAGACTGTCAGCAGAATTTGAATAATGAAGCAATGCAGTACTGGAATGGTTACAAAACATTAACCTAGCAAAACTAAGAGCTGCTGTGACCTTTTCCTGCTCCTCTTGTGCAGGAGATGGGTCCTCAAAACCTACCATAGAATTTGGCTACAATAGAAGTATGATTAAGGAATTAACTCTTATTCTATATAGATACTGAATAGAGGCTCACAAGTGTTGATGCAATATTCTCGATATACAAAGAATATTTGTACATGAATTCTTTGTGTGTGAAGTGTATTTGAGGAGGGTGAGTTAAGGTAGTATTTGTGCTCTATTTGTGTTTCCCAAGGAGGAACACAGGGCTGGAGGGACCAAAGAAACTAATCCTTAATATTCACCCCTGATCAGGGCATAGAAATTCAGTGCGCACTGAGCCACTGCTTGGTGTGACCCACGGGTTGCAAGTCACAAAATAGCTCCCACCACCTTGAAACAAACTGAAGACCATTCAAGATAAAGGCCAAGAATTCTCCTCTATCACGGAACAGGAGAAATCAGTGATCTGAGATTTGTAATTACACCTGCACTTCTTCTCTGCTAAACAAGAAATAAATCTTCACGGTAAGAAATAACCTTTGTGCTCAGAAAAAGCTATGGAAAACAACAGCAAGAGGCTGAGTGTTTGTGGGGAGAGATAATGGCTGCATAGGCTGGGGAGTTTTTGATGCAGAGTTGATGTTTTTGCTGGGTACCTCCTCCCCAGGAGCAATCTCTGAGCTGGGTGAGCTGGGCTGAGGCTGCCTGCAGCATCTCTCCTCCCCTGGGGAGGATGAGGGAGCATTTGCCTCTCTGGGCAGGAACGGGGATGTGGGCAGTGGAGCAATCACTGAGCACAGCTCTGCCTCTGGGGTGTGTTCACCCTCCATCTCCTTCCCACTGTGTCACTGAAGGAGCAGGGCAGCAGGGACACAGCCCAGGAAGCAGAGCCAAAAATGCTCCCAGAGTTTCCCTGCCCTGGCAGAGAGAATCAGCAGTGTCAGCTCTCCTGCCCCAAAGACCCACAGAAAACATGTCTCTGATGGGGCTGTAAAAAAGTTAAAAAAAAAAAAACAAACTGCCAAGTTCTGAATGCAGTTTCCAGTTTCCTGCAATAACAGACCAAAATTCCTGTCACCTCCAGATATCTTTGTGCATTCTTGGTACAATCTGTGAATTCATCACATCGCTCATAACTCTTGTACTCGTTGTCTCCCAGGACCTTGTAAAAAAGCCTCCATCACCCCTCCTACTGTGTTTACATCTGTTTGATATAGCTCATCTGTTGGCAGTAACCTGCTCCCAGTTTGGCTGACATAAACGTCTGCCAGCCCAACAGCACGAACTCTGCAGGCACAAACTCTGCAGGCACGAACCTCCCTTGCCTGGGCAGCAGAGCTGCCACCAGGACCCTGCTGAGATGGTTGTGCAGTGCCCTGA